GGGCTGGGCAGAACACTGTGGGTAACTGAACAAATGGAAATGTGATACCCCAAAGCAGTGAGCTGGCCAAAGCCAGATCCAGTGTGAGCAGAAATCAAAAGTGTCCACAGGCCAGTGTTTAGAAGGCTGATGCAGGAGAATCATATGTCCTAGACCAGACTGGCCTACATAATAAGATCCTAAATAACATGGTTTTACAGTTCTTGTGTTTCAATGTTTAAAAAAGCAAATCTCTGGGATTAAAATGTGTGCAATACCTTTATTATAATTTTAAACATATTTTCATAAAATTTTATTTTTCAGAAAGTATACCGCATACAATTCACAAATAATAATATAAATGTTTTTCATTGGAATTCTGTATAACTGGTCAGTTTGTACAGGATGCCCTTGTGATTTGTCACTCTTGTGCAGTTCATCTGTGATACAACACAATCAGATAACAGTAAATGTTTGGTTACTACTGCATTTAGCAGTTACTCCACTCCCTGACTGGATGTGGGCTGTTTTGTTGGTCACAAGAGGACATGTGAAATGATTCAGAGTTAATTTGCCTAGAGTTTCCTTCCCATCGGTAGGTTCAGAATCAGAAGTGCCATCCCGGGGGTGTGCAGCTGCCATGGGGACATCATCTGTCAACTGGAGTCCCGAGAAAGGCAAGATATACCTCCAGGGGCACTGGCCAGCACTCATTTCTCCTCTTGCTGATTTGGTGAGTTGTTCATTTTCTTGGTAGTTAAGCCCGCCTTTGAAATAAACCAAGCCTCCATTGTTCCCCAGAACCCTGATGCTGAGATGCAATGTTTGGAGGACTAGGCAACCCCTGGCCAGTGCTTTCACATCTATCTTATTACGAGGGAACACCTTAATCCCATCCTTTGTAAAACTCAGGGCACTGTTCCGACCTCAGTCCATCTGTGGTCTCACGAGCTGACTGACTGCATCTTGCCCACTTGGACCAGAACACAGTGTTTCCAGTGATGGCATCCAAAGCATGGATTTTGATCTCTCATGGCCCAAGTATATGGGTGGAACTGGCCCAGGGAAGAAGAAAGGGGGAAAAGGAGAGCTGGGGAGACTGAGAAGGGACACTTGACAGTCAGTTACTTGGAGCTGAGCTGCCTACACTCAGCCCTCACCATCTGGCCCTGTACTTGAGGGCTGCCATTCCTCTGGGGTCCAGGAAGATAGAAATGAATGAGCTTCTTCAGACAAATAAAGCAATGTCTGAAGGAGCTGCTGGTAGACTGGGGCCCAGACAACAGTACAGGAGAAAAAGAGAAAATGCTGCTTTCTAAGTACCTAATACAAGGAGAAGGCTGAACCTTGATGTGTTATAATATGTTGTATGTATAGATATATGTATGTTGTGTGCATACACATATATAGTGTGTTTATTCAGACACACACTATATGTATGTGTATATATGTTTGTATAAAGATCACTGCCACATCTCAGTAACTGTCCTTAATAATATACCACTAAGGACAGCTAAATGCCAAGTGAGTTTCCATGGGACAACAAAACCTAAAGAAGAGACAAGCAAGCCACAGTAGCATATGCTGTTGAGTGACAGGCCAATCAGTAAGTATGTCAGTGACTTGGAGAGACTCATCTTATGCCCTGGGAGAGTTGAGGTCCCTGAAGAGTCAGGCCTTGAGCCTGAACTAGGACGATGAGTGGTATTTGAGTAGAGAAGAGAGGTAACTTGCTACAGACATAGCAGAAAGGACACAGGTGGCCCATTCAGACTGTGAACATCAATTACTATTGTTGGTCACTTCTTATTTGGGGCTCTTCTAGTTGCATCAATTTAGAAAATGATCCTGCTGTCCTTTACAAGTCCAGGTATGCCTTGGTATGATCGACCACTATAGAGCTCACAAGATCACGGAAGCTCCCACTATGCTAAGTTGACATTGGGTGTTGGTGTCTGTAGGAAGACATAAAATATAACCCTTGCTTTCAAGGACAAAATGATGTCCCTATCAGATGTCCAGTGAGTTCTCAGGAGGGCTCTTCAGCAGTGAAGGCTTACTACCAATAAAAGGCAGTGAGCTCTGCGCAGCACAGACATGCCTAAGGATACCAGATTCCATAATTATCAAGACACTCTTGTTGGGATTGACCAAAAGGTCTTTTTGGCAACTCAGCGGTTTCCTTCTCAGAACTGGTTCCCAGTATATTCCTCCATCAGCTTGGAAGCATCATCTGTCTGCATCCAATCACCAGTTCAGAATTAGAAGCCAGAGTAATTGTAGACTATGTCTTACTACCACCCAAAGCCTGGACTGCCAAGTAATACCTGGTCCAGTAAGCTCTCTCTCAGGCTCTGCAGATGATTCTAGAAACAAAGTGGAACCAGCACAAAGAGAAAACCAATGCAATGGAACCTGTGTGCATGCCCACTACACTTGCCAATGAGAAATTTGAAAAGCTCTATTTGGTCAGAGAGGAATCCCACTCTGGCCCCTAACAAGCCAGTTAGAGGTGAGTGGGAGGCAGGCGCTCAGAGGAACTGAAATATCAACTTGTCTCAGCAGTGCAGTCCCGTGACAATGTAGATTTCACCATAAAAGAGCAATCTATGAAGAAGTGAAGGAACATTCCAAGTTGTATGAGCAGACTGGCTCCTTGTATGACAGAATTGACAGTTGCCTGTCACTCATGTCACTGTGAGTTGACATCAGCTTAAGTGGGAAAACTGGCTAACTAGGGCAGCTGGAGAGCTGAGACTGCAGATTTGCATTTCCTAAGGTGACAGTGTCTGTATTCACTGTGGCACATTTGACTGTCAGCCTCCTCAGACAACAGAAAGCCAAATGAGTAAGAAGCTCTCTGGAGCCTGGAGGTCCTGGGCTCTAAATTATAGTTAGAAAAACTTCTCTTCAAGACAAAAAATAGCCAGGTGGTGCTGGCATATACTTTTAATCCCAGCACTTGGAAGGCAGAGGCAGGCAAATCTCTGTTGAGTTTGAGGCTTGGTCTACAGAATGAGTTTCAGGACAGCCAAGGCTACACAGAAAAACCCTAACTTGAGAAGCAAACAAACAAAAGACAAAAGCATCCAAGGCTGTTTGGAAACATGGCTGTGTGTCACTTGACACTTCAGTAGAGGAAGGACCACCCATGGCACTGGTCCCCAGACTGACACGGAGCATCATCATGGTCATCCTGGTTTGTCTAAGCATGCTCTGCGACGTACATGCAAGTGACAAGAGGGAGTGACAAAGCTCAAGTCTCAGGAACCCCACTGTTCAGAGATGAGACTGTCTTTAAGGAGTCACAGGCTCTAGGATTTGAACAGAGGAAACCACAGTTTTTGTTTCTACAATAGCTGAAGCATATCCCCTGCCACAAGCTGACTCTGGAGAACCAACCTCAACACCTCGATCTAAGCAAGAGAAAACAAGGCACAGAAAAGGCTGCATATCATTCTCTACTTCGAGGTCTTATCTTTGAAGCAGCCTACTGCATAATCATACAAGAAAAGCTAGATGAAACTTGGTCATTCTCACTCTGACCTTTAGTCTTGGATGTTAGCAAAAATGCTTACTCTCATTAACCAAGCAATGTGGGACTCAACCCTTGTGTTAATTGAGAAACCCCATTTCCTGAAACACCCGGCTAGAAAGCGAAGCACAATCCCTCCCACCCACCCCACATTAACACTCCTATGGCAAAGGGTCAAGGAGCCAACCGAGGAACCCAAGGGAAGGTGTCTCAGAGGAAGACACCATATATGGAGTCTGGTCATTGAGAAACAGCATAATCCATCCTCACAGCATTCATCTAAAGAACTGTGCAATAACGTCCAAGCAACTGACTGCTGTTTTAACACCCAGGGTTGCTAAAGATGTTAGAGAAATATCTGGATCTAGGAGAATCTGGCAACACTCCCTGAAAGAACGGCAAAATTTTTGTAATCCTAAATGTTAAGATACATTTTCAAGTATTAAGGATATATGTGTACTGGAGGAAAGGTGTCTGGCAAGCAGACTGAGTTGGCCAAGGGAAAACAGATCAACTGACAGGCAGGCTGTGGCCATTCTGACGCTACCCATAGGTACTCTCTACCTCATCTCTAGGACAGGTGTGTTGCTAGGGACTTGTAAGAATGTTCAAAACCCCCATCACTGTCTGAAACTGACCCTACAGACAGCACCTGTCCTTGGGATACCTCCAAAGGGTCTAAATGTTCTCATGAGTTTTCCTTCACACCTCTAAACCATTAAGGGCTTTCTGGAGCACTAGTTGGTTTTCCCAAAACACTGCCATAAAACAGCTCTAGCCCGGCTCAGCGATATTCTGGGGCAGCGTCCTTCAAAGCAGTGCATTAGGCCAGGGAACCAAGCAAGCTGAGCTGAGTTGTCAACCTTTCCCTTTCTACAGACTGCCACGGTTCCTTGGTGATTAGTGCCAAGAGAAAACAAAGAGAGGCTCTGAGGTGGCAGAATCAATGTACTCCACGTGTGTCAAGAGCTGACCCCGTGATCTTCATCTGTCACCACAGCCCACTGCTCATCCCATCAGAACCCTTGAGGACCCCGACTCTAAGACTCACACCCTCCACTCCCAGCTCTCTTTAAACAAGAGAGAGAATAAGTAAAAAGAATGTTAAAAGTATGTAGCGCAGGGAACGACCAGGAGATCATTGGGTTACACTGCTCATTTAACATGACTAGATAAGGCACTTAGGTCAGAGCCTCACGCTCACTGCTTTCCCTCACACGAGAGCTCCCAGTCCCTGGGAGAAGGTGCTCTGTGGGATACATCTGGGCCATCCTTGGTTAGGCTGGGGTCTAGCCTGCAATCTTATTCCCAGTCTGCCGGTCTTATTCCCCTCCGGGGCAGAGACTTCACAGGTGCTGCTTGCTGCCAGGCCCATGGCCTTCAGTCGTTTCCAGGTGTCTCCGACATTCAGAGACTGCTTTAGTAAGTATTTTCTCTGTTCTTAGTTCTTGCAGACTATTTAACCGATTTAAAAACGTTAAAAAGGTTCATTTAGGAAAAACTCATAAATAATATATTTGTGTATATTAAAAATGAGACATATCCAAAAAGTCACAATTCCTCACTTACAGACTCCATAACAAAATATGCATCTTTAAAATTCAGTACTCTGAAACACTTTTTTACAAGTTTCCATTTGAGGAGAGATTAGAAATAAGCTGCAATTACATGCACAGATTCATCACTGAGATGGGTAAGTTATAAAAACTCCATGGTGTTTTTCAGGTGTTTCTGTGTAGCTAACCAACACCACACTGGAGAACGGACCAAGAATGTACACAAGCTACAGAGTCCCCAAGAAAGCGGGTATCATCTGGGATCCTCTTTCCCTCAGGGAAAGACACGGCTTTCGTGCAGTCTGCAGGTGCCATCAGCTATCAAACCATTTGCTTCTCTTCATGAGGGGCGCTCCCTTAGAAGGGCCCAACAACTTCTGCTTATACTGTTCCACCAGCTGGTTGAAGCGGGCTTCTGCCTTATCTTCCTTAGCTTTCCTCTTAGGTGCCTGTGAAGAAAGGAAACATAAGACAATCATTCGGTTGGTTGGTTGGTTGGTCTTGTTTTTTCCTTTTTCATCCTTTCCTTCCTTTTTGCTTTCTTGCCTTCTTACCTGCTTTCTTCCTTATTTTCTGCCTGAAACTCACTAAGTACTTGAGGATGAGTTTGAACTCCTGACCTTACATCTCTCCTCCTTATAAGGGCTACTTCCATACCCCAGTTAATTTCAAACCCTGTCAAGGGTATCCAGAGCATAAGTAGGTATAAAGATCATGTTCACTAGGAAGACGGTTTCCAGGAGAATGCAGTGTGGCCATCCGCACCAAAGTCCATTTATGAAACTTCAGAGACTGGAGCTCCACAATACAACATGATATGATCAGAAATTCCTCAGAGACAGATTTGAGTAGGACAGGATACTAATGACTCTTTTATTCTTAAAGGGGAGTAAGACAAAAGTGTGTCCTCAAATGATCAAGAACCCAGGACTGAAGGCTGGAGAGATGGCTTAGAGGTAAGAGAACTGTCTACTCTTCCAGAGGACCCTGGTTCTGTTCCCAGCACCCACACTGTGTCACACAACCATTTGTAACTCCAGACCTAGGGGACTCAGCACCCTCCTCTGGTCTCTAGGAGCACTAGGCATGCCTGTAGTTTATAGACATACATGCAGACAAATTATCCATACATTAGGAAACTGGACATTGGCAGAAACTTAAAAAGAAACATGTAAGATGCACCTAGAACATCTTATACAAGAAAGCAACACTACCAAAGACAGGCGAGATCTCTTCAGAAGAATGCAGGAACTGATTGGAGATGCCTATCTTGGCTTAGACAGAACAAGAATAAAGGCTGCATTTGATTGACTGCACTTGGTTGAAACACAAAGCATTATATGAAAATTTTGTATTTTATATAATACATACATACATACATACATACGTGTGTGTGTGTGTGTGTGTGTGTGTGTGTGTGTGTGTGTGTATCTGTCTCACAGGTCACCAAAGCAGGTTGGTATGGCAATAGTTCACTACTCTGGAAACTTAATACAGCAAGAAGAAGAAAAAAAATCACCTAACCTTGCCTTCCCTATATGTTAAGACTCTTCTTTCTTTTTAGAATTCTTAGAACACTATTTTTAGGTCCAAAGGGGTAATTGTGTTGGAAAGTTACCATTCTGTAACTCATAATGAACTAATAGGTATATATAACAATCCATTGTTATAAACCAAAGGTAAGCAGCTAGGGACATAACTCAACAGTTGAGTACTTTTGGCCTTGGGTTTGATCCTTAGCACTGCAAAGCAAAAAGAACGGAAAAGGTGGTAGGGGTAGGGGTAGGGGTAGGGGCTTTCTAAATGGAACAATGCAGCAGACAGTCCAACACCTACTGACTGATCTTAGCATTACTAATAGTGAACAACCAAAATGCGGCACTAAACAAGGAAACACATCTATGAAGTGCTCTTTCCAAGAAAAGTGACCTGATTACACCGCTAGACCTAACTACCAGCTGACAGGCAACAAGATGTCACAGAGGTAAGTTACATGATACCATAAGGAAGTGAACTCAACATAAAATACATCCTCAAGGACAAATGACCTGTTCCTACAACAAATAAACAGCGTAGGTGAAAATGTGGTAAGAAAGAATAAACCCAAATGAAGGAAGGGAGGGATGAATAGCGCAAATGTAATGTGTGGGCTTTGGTAGCATCCTAACAGGTCCTAACCAAACATAAGAAACAGTTTTGAGGCAATTAGAAAAATTTTAATAGGGGCTACATATTAGAGGGTATAAACACCTTCTGATTAGTCTCAGCAGATATGATAATGGCATTGTGTGTGTGTGTGTGTGTGTGTGTGTGTGTGTACTTGGCAGTTACAGATGTAGTCTGAAGATTTTGTGAGTAATTTATCTCAAGACATATTTACATGTAAAGTGGGATTTGCTCTCATACACTCTACTGGGGGGAAAGCAGGCAGAGGACACAGGCTCAGAGCGCAGGTGGACTGACAGGGCCTTACTTTCCTCCGCACATTTACACTGTGCCTCCCTCCTCCTCTTAAGAGCTGCTTACTATCCACTCAGCTCTCCACAGTCTACTTCTCTGCTCGGTCCTGTTAACAGAGCGGCAGCCCCACAAACCACGTGCCCCACAGACCTCACCTGCAGGGAAGAAGCTAACTGCTGCTGCTTCTGCTTCCGCTGGCCCATCTGGGGCTTTGGCTTCCTAGAAGGAAGGGACTTCACTTTGCCTTTGTCCCGCAGCCTGAAATAAAATAGCCCAGTAAATGTCACACAGAATCCTTTCTCTGGTTAGTATCCTTGTCATCTAAAATTGCTTAAGAGACAAATTTCTTTTCTATGTAGCTATTTCTAAGCCTAAAAGTAGTCACTCTTAAATAGAGTTCACAATAGCATATCCTAAGTTATAAAAGTTATATATCTGTTTGTCTCTCTGTGTTTATTTATTTTTGCCTGTGACTTCAGTGGAAATCACAGAAACCTTCATATCCTTACCAAGGTTTTTTAAAGATCATTTGTTCATAGCACTAATCTATTGTCCCAAGTAGAAATGAACAGGTGAACCTCGGCTGACAGAGCTGGCCAGGAAAAGCCCAGAAAAGACAAGAATGGCTTAGCAGTTGCCCTGATGGTTCCTCCGAGGTTCCCTCTGCCATGGTCCGAGTCATGTCTCTGCTGGGGCTGAGACAAATACCCCTTTTGTCTAAGCAAATGCTACAAAGACAGAGCTACATCAGACCCAACGCACTCAGAAGCACCCTCTTCTGTGCGGCTCTCCTGCATCTCACCTAATTTTGGGGCCTCGGTGTGAAGGGAGTGCCAGGACCTTTCTTCTCTTCTTCCCGTCAGGCAGCTCCACCTGTTCCACTTCGGCCTTGGTCTGGAACCCTGTCCACGAGGAGGAGCTGGCCCTCCTTTTCTGCTCTCCAGGCACCTTACTTTGATCCTGTGTGGTGCTCTGAGCTGCTTTCTGCTGCTTGTCTTTTCCAAGTTCTTTTTGCTCCTTTTGGGGCTTATTGGTTACAGGCTTGGATCCCATTTTTTGCTGCATAAAACAAGAAATTGCCACCTGATTTCCAGACGAGGTTTGCTTGCTAGGAAAGTAGCATCAGAGGAGGAGCCTGGCACGAGCTTGGTCAAAGAGGGGCTTGTCCCCCCACATAATTCACAAAAAAGTAAATGCAAGCAGTTTACAAGCTGTCTAGTAACAGCTACCAGGCAGGGGACAAGGCAGAAATCAGAAACAGGCAGCAAGAAGTAGCCCAATAATCAAAAGCCAGTAAGAAGAGACAATTGTCAATGGTGAAAATGGGCCAGGCATGACAACACACACCTAGAATCCTAGGCACTTGGAAAGAAGGAATGGGTCGGGAGTTTGAGGCCAGCCTAAGCTATATGAGACCCTGTTTCAAAAGACTCCTGCCCCCCACCAAAGTATAACACACAAAAAAGGTGAACATAAGCAGAAGAAACAAAACAAATAAAAATGATTTAATGTAATACAGCTAGAAATTTTTCAAGACCAGTGACAGACATTAAGCAATAGGTCTAAAGGCTGAAGAAAAACCAATAAAATAAACACCCAAACTCCACAACTGGATTTATCAGTCACATTGCAGTAAACCATGACACCAAGGTAACATGAGGTAGTTAAATTCCAGAAGATGAAATTATCTACCGAGAATTCTCTACCGAATGAAATTATCTTTCACAAAAGTGAAAGAGACTTTCTCAAAAAGAAAAAGTGGGGAGGGAGGGCTGGAGAGATGCTCAGCGGTTAAGAGCACTGGCTGTTCTTCCTGAAGTCCTGAGTTCAATTCCCAGCCATGGTGGTCACACCCATCTGTAATGGGATCTGAGGCCCTCTTCTGTCGTGTCTGAAGACAGCTACAGTGTACTCACATACATAAAATAATTTTTTTTTTTAAAGGAAGGAACAAATGAATGAACTGCGGCCAGGAAACCAGTGTTTCAAGAAATCCTAAACAAATTCCTCCAGAGCAAGGAAATGGCATAGATTGAAAACCTGAGTCAACATGAAGAAGGGAAAAGCCTCAGAGAGGGGGCCAGTGAAGTAAAGAAGGCAAGAGGAGGCTAGAGCTTCAGAAGCCAGCCGAGGTTGTTGAAGGTTCATGAGCACTGAAGCAGGGGAGAGCGGCATGTCCTCCACAGGCGCATGTGTTTGAGAGCTCACAGCCTGGCCCCTCCCGCCTCCTGCTGGCTTTCTTGCTCTTGTTGTAGTCTGACGATGAGATCTCTCAGCCTCCTCCTCTGTGATCATACCTGTTGCTTGCTGCTATGGCTCCCCGCCATGATGGGCTCGTATCCTTTTGGAAGCATGAGGCCAAATAAACTAACTCTTCCTCCATTAAGTTGCTTTTGGTTATGGTATTTTATCTCAGCAATAGAACCGTAACTAATACAAGACATACACATAAATAAAACAAAATAAAAAACAAGAATAACTGAACAAGTTGATGAAAGCCTGTGTAAGGAGGGCTTATCTGACAGTGGGAGGGTCCATTTGCTCTGAGTAAGAAAATGAGTCAGGAGAAAGGCTGTGCAGGATGCACAGGGGCAAAGACTTCAAAGAAAATGCAGGCGGCTTCAGAAACACCCTTGAAGCAATGGCTAAAGGCAATCTGGTATGTCTAGGAGTAAGATCCCGGGTTCTTCAACAAAGGTCAGGTTTAGTCGCTGCTACCATCCATCGGGCTGCCATGCTTTCAGCAGACACCAGACACTAGGAAGGCTCTCTACAGATGCAAATGGTAGTAGAGTATTGATGAGTGCTATCAGAATTATGGACCTCAAAATAACCTAGTCTAGCATGCCCCAAGGGAAGATGGGTAACGAGGGTAGTGACTACAAGCTGAGCAAAGGTATATCAGCTCACTTAAGCCTCCTTACGTGAGAATGCAGATGTTACACACCCACTTATAGACTGAGGCTCAGAGAAGAAACTTGCCAGGGAACATGTAGCTAAGAATAAAAAAGCTTACCACTCCTGATTCTCCTTCTCCCCCACACAAACTGAAAATGGTCTAAAACCAGCAGGTGTGCTGAGACTGGAGGATTTTGAGTTCAAGGCAAACTTGGACAACAAAGGGAGACCCTGTCTCAGATGATGAGGATGATGATTCTGGATCTTAGCCTCAGCCACTTGCTCTGACATGGCCCACACACACCATGTAGAAACTCATGGTAAGTCACAACATTGGTTTGCTTTCCTTCCTTCTCCCTTCTCCTGTGCAGCACTCAGGAGAGAAACCACAAAGGAAAAAGCGCCAGGGAGAGACTTAGGAAACAGAAGAAACTCCTACTTGGCAGAAGCACAAAATAGACAAGAGGAAGCTTAATTAAGCCCTTTAAAAGAAAAAAAAAAAAAAAAGGCTGGGCATGATGGCACACACCTTTAATCTAGTAGTTGAGGCAGAGGGATCTCTGAGAGTTCTAGGTTAGTCAGAGCCACAGACAAGGGCCAGGAAGATGGCTCAGCAAGTAAAGGCACTTGTCACCAATCCCCAGGACACACATATTAAAAAGAGGGAGCCAAGTTCCCAAGTTGTTCTGACCTTTAGAATCCATGGTGCAGGCAGACAGATAGACAGGCAGACACGCAGGCAGGCAGGCAGACAGACAGAAAGAAAGACAGACAGACAGACAGACAGACAGACACACACACACACACACACACACACACACACACACACACACACGCACAACCAAACCCAGTTTAGGTTCAATACCAGGCTGCGTTGGATTCTCAGCTCCTTTACTTTAAGTTTTCTTCGATCTTCTAAAGAGAACTCCACTATCGGTCTCTGTCAGAGGAAGACATGTCAAGACTTTACAATCTGAGTGCAGTGGGCCTAGGTACTCCTCCACGCGCTTCTCCTCCTGTCAGCCTTGAGGCTGTTCCTCATGTCTTCTCTAAAAGCCAGTTCTGCAGGCAGTCTGTCCAGTCACGCTCTGCAGGAGCACCCCACCCAGATCACCATCTCTTGCCCCACCCCTACCCGGTACTGTCTCCCACCACTCACATATCAGGACACGAGGCAGCTACTCTCAGAAAGCGGGTCTCTCTGGAGGAGGAGACTCACCTTTTGGGACCCAAAGATCTCTGGGTTGTTGTTGAAGTGGCGGAGGGCTCTAAGGGCGTGCTCATGCTTTTGGAACTCTGCAAAGGCATAGCCCAGGGACTGCCCCTTCGCTTTCTCACCGGCTGCTTTAAGGTCCCGCATCACTCTACACTGTAAGTAGAAAAAGAAAGAAAAGAAAAACAAAACAGAAGTTATGAATAAGAAATAAAACTTCCAGAGAAAAATGTATTTTATTTTTTGAAATCTTATGTATATGTGTATGGCCATGTGTGCACATGTGCACCTGAATGCAGCGCTCATGGAGTCTAAAGAGGCAACAGTCCCTGGAGCTGGGACCAAAATCATGTCCCCTGCAAGAGCATTACTGTGCTCATAACTAGCAAGCCATCTCTTCAACGCCCTAAGGAAAATTTGTTCATAAACTGTTAACTGTTCATAATGCATTTAATGGAGAGGTACATAATTCCTCAGCTTCTCAACAAGTTATTGCTGAGAATGGAGAACTGTCCAAAGACTCGATCCTGAAGAAAGGCCCCAGGAAGGAAATTAATGGAGATGGAAGGAAAGAAGATCTGATAGTTTTAGATTAAAAAAAAAAAAAAAATCCCAACATGGGATAAGCCTCAGAATACAGCAGGCTTCAGCTATCTTAGGTTAGAGTCAGAAACTCTTTGGTGCACATTTTTCTCTAAATGCCAAGATACAGTAAATATCCTAGGGTCATGAGGAACATAGAAGCTAATTTGAGAAAATACACCACTTATACAACATTAGTGCCTAGAGCTGCTGCCCTGCTGTAGTGGGGGAGTCTAAGTACGAGACACACGCATACTACAACGGCTCCATGCATAGATCCAACTCTGGCCACTGCAGAGGAACAAAGAGAAGAACAAGTTCCTGACTTCAATATGCTCACTCACTTAAAACATCACTTAAGACATCTCGCTGTGATGCAGAATTCACACAAATAAAGGGATTAAGGGGAAAAAAATATAATGCTTTTGTCATGATTCCTGGGAGACAGGAACAAACACCTACTTACCCAAGACAGGGACCCAAAGACAGACCAAGGTAACGACAACACCAAAGTCAGCCGGTGAGCCAGAGACTTTACTGGGGTTATTTACAGAAGCAGAAATGACTCAAAGACAGCTACATCACCCAAAGCCCACCCTAGCATGGCTGACAGCTCACAAGCTGGGCACACGTGCACTGTGTACTCTCTTCTCTCCTCCCTCTCCCTTTTCTCCTCGCCTTGCCCCTCCCCTCCTCCTTCTCCCTCCCTTTCCCTTTCTCTCTTTCAAATATGTGTATGTGTATGCATGAAAACACACACACACACACACACACACCTCTTTTAGTCTTTTAGGAACCAAAACACATAAATTGTATTCTCTGCAACAAATATAATCTGACCACACAGCAGCTACTGAATAAATGCTTGCTAAATTAATTCATGGCAGAGATTTCCTCAGATTTTGCTGTGATTTAGTCAGACATGAAAGACAGTTCCCAAAAGAAAAATGCCAAACTCAGCTTTACATGCTGATGTGTCCAGAAGAAAACCTGTCGACTCCTGGCACCACGGCCTGAGATGAATGACTGTGCCTGCAAGCTGCGCACGGCAGGGCATCGCTCACCTCTTTAATGCGAACCCCCTTCTCTCCTCGAGTGGCCTCCAGCAGCAGCTTCCTTAGTTGTTTATCGTCCACAGCCTTTGGGAGATTGTGCAGGCAAAGCCGGGTCTGGGAGACAAAGATATTCTGGTTCTTGAGTTTCTGATGTTTCAGTAGCTCGAACTGAGAGAGGAGAAAAAGACAAGCTCTTACCGTCCAGTACATCTGTTAGGCAGGCTCCGAACTGTCTAAAAGAAGAGAATCCTAACCCCACCTCAGGGCCACAGATGCGCCTGCTGCCTTACAATACCTAGCAGAGAGAAGAGCAGGCTCAGGAAGGCGGGATGATCATGAACGCCAGAGTCAGATATGAACCAAAAACTCACCCAACTGGAGAAATCAAATGACATTTTAAGATTCAATTTTTCATCTATAAAAATGGAACTATGGGTTAATATTTAACTCTCAGCACTGACATGAGGCCAAATGAGATTTAAAAACAACAACAAAAACTCCACATAGTTCAAAATGTGCCCCAGCACAATTTTGTTTTTGTTTTGTTTTGTTTTTTCAAGGCAGGGTTTCTCTGTGTAGCCCTGGCTGTCCTGCAACTCGCTCTGTAGACCAGGCTGGACTTCTACTCAGGAGATCTGCCTGCCTCTGCCTCCTAGTGCTGGAACTAAAGGTGTGCATCGCCACTGCCCTGCTTAGCACAAATACTCTTATAAGTAATACTGAAGTTGGCATTTATGCTCAGTCCTCACCCACCCAACAACTGGGAATATCTAGTACTTCCTTCCTAAAGTTAACTTAGTTAACAATCCAGTAAGTTGTGGCTAGCAAAGTTAGTTCTAAACTTAGTATAGCTTACTGCACTGCTTCCCCAAATACCACAATATCCAGATACTCACTACTACTAAAAATAATAATAATGATAATAATAATACTAACATTAAAAAAAACAAACAAACCTATGCTGGAAATATCGCTTCCACTGATCACTACATTTGCTGCTCACCGTCTCCGGAACGTTAAGGTCCTACAGCTGTTCTGTATCTTTACCATTCTAGGCTGGCTTTTTATCCTTTAATCATTTTATACTATTATCCGGTGTGTGTCTGTGTGTAACACATTGTGCATGTGGTAGGGATCAAAGGATAACTTTAGAGGTTGGATTCTCTCCACTGTAGGTTCTAGGGATCAATTCAGGTCAACTAGGCTCGTGCAGTAAGCACTTTTACCCACTGAGCCACCCCGCTGGCTCTAGGCTGCCTTTTTAAAGGTAAACTGCACAAACTAGAGATAGAGCCCAGCTGCTAAAGTGTCTGCCTAGCACGCACAGCATCTGGAGTTCAATCCTCTGTACCATGGCTACTGGACATGATGGAGCTGGCCTGTAATCCCAGTACTCAGGAGGTGGGTGGAGGAGGGTTAAAATTCAGAAATATTAGGCTACACGTTGAGAACAGCCTGAGCTACATGGGACTATATCAAAACAACAAAAGTAAGCTCTATGTACAAAAGCAGCAACTACTGCAAACACTACTAAGCAACAAAGGTGTCAGTTAACAGTAAAACGCCTATATATGAAGTTGTTCTACAATATTTGTATATAATTTAGAGATACCATCCTTCCCAAATGGCATCTTAGCTACTCTTTCCAAAACCCACATTTCCTCTCGTTCCTAGTATGCCTGCCTTCTGTTCTGTTGTTCTACACTTATGATAACAATTATATCCAGCTACTTCTCCACACCTACTGCATGATCTAGCGGCAGATACTCAACACACACACACATGCATACTACAGAAACAAAGAACAAGACTGAGCTCTTACAATGGGAAGGAATGCTGACACAACGCCAGTACTGTCCAGTCACTTCTCCTTCACCTGTGTGCTTCTAAACACGGTAAAGTGTGGTTATTACGTGTGGCTCTTCAGGTGCAATGTAGCAGCAGTGACTGTTTCTGATTCACTTACACAACCATGAGAGCCCTAAGGCCGGTGCCTATCCACTCACCCGCTCGCGCTTGGCCATATCTGCGGCACTCACACCCTCAGCAGCCTTCGTCCCAGCTCGGATCACTGCAGAAAGAGGGAAAAGGGCCAAGATGTCAGCAAGGGAATGTTCACTGAGCAACAGGAAGAATGTGATTTGAATGATGCAAACTCTTTGTACTGGGCCCTGAGGACTGTGTTGGCCAGTGAGTTAGCTCCAAAAATAGCTACAGGGATAAGTTCTGGACTTAGACTTGCTCTAAAGACAAACTGAACATTTTGTAATCTTGTTCCTCTCTGCCTCCAAACAGCATCACATTCATGCAGCAAGTTGGACAGAAAGGCGTGAAGAAGTTCTGAATGCGGCTATAATATAGAATGTTCCACCAACCACCTGTCCCTGAGACTGAGCTGCTCCTAATTGCACTCTGGCGCCAACCACTCAGCAATTAATTAGATGAGCCAAAATAGAGGACAGAAGTGTGGTCTCAGAGGCTTTGGATCCAAAAGCTGACCGTCAAACTTTACTAGCTGGGACTACGCAGGAGTAGGCTGATAAATACTTAAAAGCTAATTTCTCATTCTTTTTTGACATTATAGGAAAGATGCTAGGTAAACATTTAAAAATCTATCAATAACCCAAAAAAAGTCATTTCAATTGTATTTTTCAACCTCTTAAAAACAAAAAACACCTCATTAGAAATGAAGACAAAAGCAGGTAATTTAAGAGTTTTCTTCCCATGTGCTTCCAATCCTGCTATGGAAATACTCTGAAGCAACTATACAACAGACAACAAGACTGATTACTCTGCAAAATGGGGGAAGGTTCCTAACAAAGCCACATCTACTGAAGTGGAACAGCAATAAAACACTGATAAGGAGGAAATTTTGTATTTGAAACATATCTTGGAACATAATTGCTGGTTCACCTCAGGTCATGGGGCCAGCTACTCAGATGCCTGGTGCCTATCTTCTGATACTCACAGCCTTCTCGGGCCAGATAGAGGTTCCGGGTTCCGGTTGGCTTCTTCACCTTCTTTGTCTGAAGCTTTGCTGCCTCATCACGGGTCACAGCCAAGTCGACCTTGAGCTGCCGGCCGTCCAGTTTAAGCCCACCACCCTGAAACATATTACAACTTTCTCTTCAAACACGGAGCAAGCAGGAAAGAAGATATGACAAGGAAGAGCGGGACAGGGACTCAGCACACTGTGACCGTGCTGTGGGAGCCAGGCCGCAGGCCGCATCTGCCTGGCTGGCCACACGTGGACCCTTGAGACTCAGAGTCGTCTTTACAACTGTACAAAAGGTCACATCTGTATGTACTGAAGAGAAGCAGCAGGAAGGAATTTACTTTACAGTAGCTCAGTCCCAAAGTCGGCCTGAGCTGGGAAAGTGTTCTGTAAACATGTTTAGTATTCTAAAGCTAGTGTGAGAAGATTTAAGACACAAGGACGACATAGGATAACACCTCAAAAGCTGAATGCTTCGTTTAAAAAGCACAGAAAACTTCTCAGTATCCATCTCTATCAGACACTCATCCAGTCTCACAGATAGCATTAATACCTTCTTTCAGTCCTTCATGTTATTAGCCTAGAATAGAGGCTGATACACAGACAACAATCAGTGAACACTAGAAATATCAAACTTGTTCCCTCACTTAAGAAACACGGACAGCTGTGATCATCTCAAAGCACGGATTAAGGCCGCACATACAAAGCTCAGAGCACAGCAAATACTAAGTGCTCAAGCCTTCACTTATTAAAAATAAATAATAATAATAAAACCTGGTAATAAAGTCAGCTCTTGCCTATAGAAGCTACTATGTCCTCGGCATAGGGGAAGGACTTGCTTTCCTTACCTCAGCCTCTGGAGAGGCCGCTGCAAGACATTTCTGAGCTGCTTCCTGAGTCATGAATTGTGCAAAAGCACAGCCTGCACAAAGACACAAAACTTAGTAAGATACACCCTCACTCCAACAGAGAGCAAAAGACAACACTGACGACATCCAGAGCCTGACACGATGGGAGGGGAGGTAGCGCCTATGGCACAGGTACTATGCTGAGTGCTGAGGATCACAGCCGGATACTACAGCACACACACCCTTCCTTAGCAGTTGGTCAACCACCTCCTTAATGATACCCACACGAAATGATAAAGAAATTCAACCGACCACTTAATTCAATATCATGGAGTGCCTAGTGTAACAGTGAAAGATGAGCAAGAAGTATTTAACCCTGAAATTAATTATATTTCATAGTCTTAAGATGCATGAGGCATCAAATAATGGTAGATATGCCTCGAGGTAAAAGAGGCCTCTATGAATAGTGCATGTGCTCAGTTGTTGGCTTATGCTATAGAATATTTTTTAATTTGTTTTTAATAATTTATTTTATGTTCATTGGTATTTTTGTTGTTGTTGTTGTTTTGTTTTTTGAGACAGGGTTTTTCTGTATAGCCCTGGCTGTCCTGGAACTCACTCTGTAGACCAGGCTGGCCTCGAACTCAGAAATCTGCCTGCCTCTGTCTCCCAAGTGCTGGGATCAAAGGCATGCACCATCACTGCCCGGCTGTTCATTGGTATTTTGTTGCATGTACATCTGTGTGAGGATGTCAGATCTTGGAATTACAGACAGTTGTGAGCTGAGGTGTGGGTGCTGGGAACTGAAACCAGGTCCTCTGAAGAGCATTCGGTGCTCCTAGTTGCTGAGCCACCTCTCCAGCCCTAGCATCTTTATAAAGCATATCTTTCATTGGTTAAATAAAGGGCCGAATGATCCAAAAGAATTTCTACTATAGATTAAAAGCAGCTTTGCACAAATTCACCGCACAGTAAATTTCAAAAAAGTATGTTTCATAATATATTTATACCTTAAAACTCAAAAAGACTTCTCTCATATAATAACACTACCACGTCTCCCAGAGCTAGGACGTTCTCTTCTGCCCTATACTGAAATGAATGCAGGCAGATTAATCTAAAGCATACATACAGTAGGCTAACTCAAGAGTCACCATCTAGAGAGATCTCTCCAAGTCCCCAACAGAGGGCCAAGTGCTCCTACTTCTGTGTCCCCAACACCTCCCATCCACCATTCACACACCAATCAGGTAGCATCTTCCACAAATGAGAAGTACTTACGGAATCTGGACCACCTACTACAGCACAGAGCACTGACAAACACAGTTCAACCTCAGAACCCAAGGTCTACGCATTAGTGGAGTCAACCACGCACAAAACAAAAACACTTGGGGAGAAAGTGGTCCATAGTGAACATGTATGGACTTTCCATTCTCTAAAAACAATGTAACAACAGCTTATTTTATGTTTATTAGGGGGTGTGTATGTTGACACATTTTAAAGAAAGTGTCTCTTGACCCCAAGAAGACAGAACTTTTCCAGGCCTTGTCATCAAGTTAATGCCATGGCTTGAGATCACTTAAGACCATGTACTTAGCCATGTATCCTACTTTGCACTCAGCTTCTTTAAGCTTAGCTGCCTTAAAGAGAACATGTAACAAACCTAACTGTGCATTGAATTTCCCACACAATCAGTTTTTACAACCTACGCTAAATACATAGCTTTAATAGTAAGTTATATACTTTTACAGGACCCTCCTCACCCAAAATAATAGTACACACACACACACACACACACACATGTTATACTAATTATTTGCTGAAAACAGTGAGAGGGTAGAAGCAATCTTAAACAACAAATATAAACGTTGAAAGCAACAGGTAGACACAGGCTGGTAACATCTGTTGCACTTTTGTAGCTACACTGGGTCTGTTGGGAGTAGTAAAGGTACTTATTCCCAACAAAGACTTCTATAAAGATCCCTCTTGACTTCCCCATATCATGCTTCTGTGCTGTCCAATAACTATGAGGCAAAGTCCTTTACTAGGACAGACAGCAGACACAAGACAAGTGGAGAATTCAAATCAGGCTTACACTTGCTAAACTAATCCAAGAGGAAGTTGCTTTATTTTTGTTCCTTAATGTATATATGTGATCTAGAGAATCAAGTGTATGGGAAGATGTGCATAGGTTATATGCAAACACTATGCCATTTTATATGAAGAACTTGAGTACTCGCAAGTTTTGGTATTTGCCATGGTCTTGGAACAAGACCCAGTGGATACTGAAGGACAAGTGTAATGAAAGAAATAGAGGATTCAGAGGTAAAGACTCCTGACAGGCAGATTTCGTAGTCATCAGATAAGTGATGGACACCTTTAATCCCAGCACTCAGGAAGTAGAGGCAAACAGATTTCTGTGAGTTTCAGACCAGCCTGGTCTACACAGTGATACCCTGTCTCAAAAGAAAAAAAGAAAAGAAAACAAAAGAGAGAAGGAAGGAAAGAAAGAGAGAGTAAAGAAAGTCCAAAGTATAAGAAAATCACTGTCCCAGCATCAGTGCTGGTTCAGTCTTAGCATTTCCCTAAGGTCGTGGATCACAGGTAACTCTTCTAGGTAGTGAAATGGCTTGCTTAGAGAAACAAACTGTCAAGGAACACAAAAAATGTATCAGAAAACTTCAGCAAATTGGAGCCAGCAAATGACAATACAGTTAAAAAATTAAAATTATGCTTTTAAAATAATTAACTATTAAGATTAATAGAACAGAAAAGATATCTAGCAAATAAATTGCAGGCTACACTGTAAAAAAAAAAAAGTATTCTAAGAGATAAAAGTAAAATAATGTTGTGCCCACACTCTGGGTATTTTAAGAGATTCTAGTTACTCATTCAAAAAAAACAAACCAGAAGTGAAAAAGGTCCCAAAGTGTGACTATCAGCACTGAAGACATTTGACTACTCTAGTCATTTTCCAGGTAAATAAGTAAGCTTACAGTGAGTTAATGTCCCTTACCTCCAGGGAGCTGTTCAGTACTGCCTTACATTATTTTAACTGAGTGTAAGTAAAATTGATCAATTCTTATCAGCTGAAAACTAAGGTTTAGAATGGAAGTTCTTAACCATGGACAAACTCTTGAGAATCCACAAACCCTGAGACATAGCACTTTTCTGAGGAAAGGGCTTACAGCACTGCCAGAGATCAGAATAAACCATGACCTCAATGTTTACAATGGTTTACCTATCACTGTCAACCTGGCTGGACTGAGAATCACCTAGGAGACTGAAGCTATACCCTCTGGGTATATTTGTGAGTATGTTTCCAAAAGGATCAAGGAGAAAGATCTTCCCAAAGGTGGGTGGCACTTTATGGTCTAGGGACCTGGGCAAAATCAAAGAAACAGTGTGAGCAGACTGTTAGCTCCGCCCCTTCTCTACTTCCTGGCCCACCATGAGAAGAGCTGAGCTGTTTTGTCCTCTCTACCAAAACAGACTGAATCCTCTGAAACTCAAGCAAAATAAATCGTGCAAACACTAAGTAATGGGAAGCTTAAACAGAATGGCTGCAGTCCATGAGGCAAAGGATCATAAATGGACTGATGCTATATATGTGTATCTATTCACATTCTGATACACAGCAGTGTGCTACAAATAAATGCTTACTTACCCCTTAAGGGTAACAAATAAATAGCATGAGGGGAAAATATCTCATGTACCACTCCTACTACGTTTTCCTTCTGACTCTTGCCATGCAACAAAGTTTCTGTCAGTTTCTATCTCTAACAAAAGCATCGAAGAAAAAAAAGTTCCCTATTAATTTTGAGCAATGTAGAATGATTAATACCCATGAGATGCTATCACATTTGAAATGCAAAAGAACAACAAACGGAATTCATTTTCTTAAAGTAAATAAGCAAGAGCTTTAAAGGCTGAGACAAAAATTAAGGCTGGCAAAGCCATTAAATTGCTGACTTTCACGTCATGAAAGACGATCTCAGAATGTCCTTGGGCTTTTAATGGAAGCCAAGAAAGAGACTGGAATGGCATAATTTATGCTCTTTCCTAATGTTGGGCCTGGTCAGCCGAGGGCAAGTACCTTTAGAATGCTCTGTGTCTGGATGTAAGACAATTCGGACATACTTAAGATCACCAAATTGCTGGAGGACCTCCCCAAGTGCTTCTTCTTCTGAGTCAAATGAAAGATTTCTATAGAAGAAAAACAGGTCACACAAATTTCAATGACAAAGAAAGACCTTGAGTTTCGATCTGAGGTACATGAATTAGACATAAACTAATGATGTCTGCCTTGTTCACATCCAGTCTCCCTTGTTCAAAATAGCACACAAGAGCGGCCCCTAGTGGCTAAGCCTCTGCTCTCTCAGTCTGTCCCTTTGTCCCAATCTTCCTATATATCAGATTTTCTCACCTGAGAATTTAAAACTTAATAGACAAATAAAAAAGGCTAAAAGCTGCAGATACACTAACTTCAAAACAGATGTGTCACAGATACTGAAATGATACAGATACACTATAGCATGACCTGGTAGTCATGTGAATACATACATGAAAACTTTGCTTAGACATACCCTTAAAATAATACACTTTACAGAAATAAATACCTTGTGCCTTCATTTTCTTTTTTTTAAAAAAGATGGTATCCCAGAGAAAAGACCCACAAACCCCAGCAGCGGGAAACTAAAAATGCCGATTTTCATCCCCTACTCGAGATCTGCACCTTATACAACAGTGATTCTGTGAATAAGCCAGTGTTCACCCAGCCTGCCCTCTTTTCACTCACTGTGGCTGAAGTTAGTTTTTGTTATTACAACCAGCAGTTTAAGTGTCCACAGCACACTAGTAAGAAACATGTCTTTCTTTTATTGAATTAGACATATTTCCATTAATGTTTATATAAAATAGGATTTCAGTTAAAATTTTCTAAAGGGGACAAAATCCTTCAAAATAATACAAAAGAAAAACATGGTAAAGATGACTAAGCAAATAGGGGAGACAGAAAGGGGGAAGGGAAAGAGAAAGGGCAGGAACCATACACTGAATAGCCTTAATCTGAGAATTGGAAGCTTTTTGTGTATTTTTAAAATGTTTAGTACATATGTATATATGCATATGCACCATAAAACACGTGATACTCCAGCTGCCAATGCTTCACCCCCACTACTAACCGCTTGTCCCCTTGACATCCAAATACAATCTAGGAACCAAAGCCAAATTCCCTCAACCTTTCCACACCAACCTCAAACCCTGTTACAGACCGTCCTTCTCACCATGTGCCAAGAGCCTCCCCATTCATCCATGTTCCTAAAATATTTCAATTTCATAACCCACCTGAACACCCCAGGAAAGACTATTCTGATATAACAAAAGCATCTCAAATCATTATGTTCTCCCCAATAATAAGACCCTACTTTCAGAGAACAGTGGTTCTCCAATTAACCTCAGACAGCCAATGGAAATTTCCCTGGTTCCTCTCAAGAACTCTCAAACAGACTCCAGACAAGTACTCCTGCCAACCAACAGCCTAAACTGTCCTGCCCATTGCCTATGTCTAAGGGTAGGATCTCTCTCCCTGTCCCTGGTCTTGGGACTCCTTTTCCCAACTACCAGGACCATTAACCAAACATTTCAAATGTACATCCAACATAATTTTTTTTTTCTGAACTCCTTAACTTTACCTCTGTCCCTAGTCTATCTGTCCCGGCAAATTTCAAATCGAGTACAGACTGCTCCAACAACTCCAGCACCAGTTCCAGCTGTTTCTTCAGAATCTACATCTCCTTACAGATTACACTGCCCTATGGTACAACAAGTAAAAGACCTTGCTCTTCCCAACCTGGACCAACAACCCAGATTCAATGAAGCACCAATATCAGCAGGAAGCAGACAGAGAGAACAAGGCCCATTTACCCAATACCAAACAACACAACAATGAAACAAAAAGGTGGGAATGGAGGGACTCTGGCCAGCTCAAATGTGCAAGCAGGGCTCTGGCAGGCCTCGCCCTTCTCTCCCATTCCCTCTGTCTTACTAAAAACCTTTAGATTACATGCTTAAAGCTAGCCACTGGCCGGGCAGTGGTGGCTTACGCCTTTAATCCCAGCACTTGGGAGGCAGAGACAGGCGAATTTCTGAGTTCGAGGCCAGCCTGGTCTACAGAGTGAGTTCCAGGACAGCCAGGACTACACAGAGAAACCCTGTCTTGAAAAACCAAAAAAGCTAGCCACTGAGGTATTATTTCTTTATTTGGCCATCCTAACAACAACCAGGCTGACTACCAAGACCCAGCTACAAAGTATTGAAGTCCAGCAATCAAAAGTACCCTTTGGCTCACCTAATTAACCCACACAATTAAAATTAAACACTTCATCTTAACACAGGGTTTCCTTTATAAACCACCATCTTCCTGAGGGCCATGTGTGTATCCTCTCTATCAGAGGCAGTCTGATAAATTCTGAGACAAATACCCCTTCCCCCTCTCCCATGTTCCCTTCCCCTTCTACCTCATCCTCTATCTCCTGTCTTTGTCTCTTGTTCCCTGTCCTTTGTCTCTTTAGGGCAAATAAAACTCCTTTGTGCTGTGAACTTGGATTTGGGGTAGCCTGAGCTGATCTGAATCCTTTTAGTTGCATCTTTTTTCGTGGGTGCTGGGACTCAAACCTGGGCCCTCAGGAAGAGTAGTCAGTGCTCTTAACCACTGAGCCATCTCTCTAGCCCTGTCAGTTTGTTTCCTTAATACGGCCCAGGATCACATCCCCCAGACACTGGGCACTCCCAATTGCTAATCAAGAAAATGCCCCACAGACTTGCCTGTGTTTGATGGAGGCAACTTCTCAACTGATGTTCCCTCTTCCCAGATGACTAGCTTATGTCAAGCTGACAAAAAACTATTCCATACAAGTAGTGTATACAAATTCAAAGGCCTGAATTTTATTCCCAGCACAATACAAACTAGGCCTGGTGGGATACACCTGTAGTCACAATACTCAGGAAGTGGAGGTAGACAACATAGTAAGTTCAAGGTCGTCTTCAGCTACATAATCTGAGATACATGAGATTCTCTCTCAAAAATATAAAAAACAAAAAGGAAAGAAAAAGAGAAGTTAGGCATAAAGAGAGAAGTTATCTAGGGCAAATGATATCACCTTAGCATTTCTCCTAAAGTAAAGGTGAGAACCAGCTAAGAGTTGAAATGTTTTAGAAGATGCCACCCCAGTTACAAAACAAGAACTCTAAAGAGACAGCGACCGTCTCTGCTACTTACCTCCCGTCCTAAGCTCTTGCTCTTACATTCTCACTGGTGTGTCCCCCAGACCAGATGTGCTAACCAGTCTGATAGCATCTAACTCTAGTGCTAAGGAAAGGTGACAGGAAAAGAGGAAGAGACAGAAGGTGGGGGAGAGGGGAGGTGAGCAGGTGAGCGAGGGAAGGCCAGGTCAGCAAGGAGACTTGTGAAGTGGATGCACAGCTTTGCATATAAGGGGGCATACCTGATGAAAACAGTTTTCCCTTCAGTCACATCAGAGGGTAACTTCCTCTTCTTTTTCTTCGAGACTGGAACATCTAATATAAACAACAAAAAACCAAAACAAAACGAAACAAAACAAAAAAAACTCAAAAAGACAAATGCAAGTCATATGGCAAAGGGCTAACTTCTTAAGTATTTTATATAAATTAATTTTTAAAATTTTAAATGGACGAAGAATGTAACGACTAGATACATTAAAAGATGCTCAAGCTCAAAATATTTAAAGAGCAAAGCAGAGGGACTGAGGGTTTACCTCAGTGTGGAATGTGGATTTGACATAAACAAGGACATAGGTTCAATCCACAGCAGCAAGAGAGAGAAAGGGAGAACGGGCATAGGTCAAGAAAAAAAAATACTTTTTACTTAAATTGGCAAAACATAAAAGACCAATATAATCCAATGTGGTAAAGGTGTGTAAGAAAAAATTCCCATATATTGCTGTGGCCACATTCACACAGGTGCACACATGGGTGCACACACACACTATACTATAACTGTATATATATATGCATGTGTTTCTGCTTATAAATGTGTTAAAATGCTCTCTAGTTAAACAAGAAACATGATACTGATTGTCTCTGGGAGTATGGTTTAAGAGGTTAACGATCTAGATGAGAAGGAAGAAACTCGCTGCTTGAAGAATAAACATTACAGTAGGTATGGTGGCTCATGCTCGGAAGCCAGCACTTGAGAGACAAAGGTATGAAGACCTCAGGTTCAAGTCCAGCATGGACTTCATTGTGAGACCCTTTCAAAGAAAATTAAGAAAAACCACTTATATGCTATGTGTATATATACAAAATTTTTGGGAAAAAAAGATTACTTTGGAGAATTGTTGGACTGGTGAAAAACTTTTGGTTGCTACATTAATCTCCTTTGTACTGTATTTTTTAAGTTTCTATCTGAGTCCCACTAAGTTTTCTGATTCAAAAAAGAAAATGACAGGAGGTAGAGGAATCCAAGTTGTAGGTCCCATTGTGTCCTCGGTGTGAAAGCCTTGACTCCATCTTCAGGAATGAAAAAGCTGACTTCCTGTCTCTTCTGTGGCCCAACCAAAATGCCAGGCTCACAGAAACACAAGCAAACCAGCTGAATAAAAACACCCACTCCAACCAACTCCCCAGGAAGCAGTTATCAGCCAGTTCGCACTATATACTGGCCTGCCTTACTTATCCTTAATAAAGGGAGCAGCATGGACTTGCTCAATGTTCTACAAATGCTCCTAGAAGTCCTTGTTAGGAGCTGAACTGTGCCTCTACAAAACTTGCACAGTAAGCCTTTAGCTCCTGGAGTCATTACATTTGGGGAGACCTCAGACAGGTAATCAGGGTTAAGTGATGGGTAGGTCCTTACTCTAGCAGGACTGGTTTCCTTATTAAGGAGAAAGTAAGAGTTTTGGGATTTTTTGTTTGTTTTGTTTTGTTCTCCTTGACGCCACACGTGGGTAAAAGCTATTTGCAGACAGTGAACAGGTTAAGTTCGCAAGGCAGAAACAGAGCACCCTGGTCTGGGGACATACAACCTCCAGAACTCTAAGAAAATAAATCTGTCTTATTTGAGCCACAAGTCTGTAGGATTTTGTTCTGGAAGCCCAAGCTGAGTTTATAGTTCTTTACCTTCTCTCAACTCAGAATTGTTTGTTTAGTTTTTTAAACTCATCTTGTCTACATATCAACTCACAGGGTTTGTTTTTGTTTTAAAAAAAGAAACTTATTTAGTATGTAAACATGTATTATACCCTGTTTACCAAGTGATCTTGAATCAGACAATTAGAAGTAGAAACAACCTGAATGTTAAGGCTAGGTTTTAACTTCCCTAAGGAAGACTCTAAATTCTCAATCATTTCAAACTCATCTTTAAAACAAACATAACGTAAAGAAACAAAAGGGCTCAGAATATGGCTCAGGCGGCAAACGATTGCCCTGCATGCATGCAGCCTGGGTTCAGTACCCGGGGCCACATGAAGCAGACAGAGCAGTGCACACCTGTGACCCTGCTCTGGGGTTAGATCACAGTGAGGGCAGCAGGGACTGGCTCAAGGGCATTCTCAATCACAAACTGAGTTGAGGCCAGCCTGGGCTATCAGAGACCTGACTCAAAAGGGGACAGAGGGAAGCAGAGACACAGCCAGTTAGTAGAGCACTTGTGTTGTATGCACACGGTCCTGTGTTTGATCCCCAGCACCACAGAAGCCACCAACGAGGTAGAGGCAGGGGGATCAGAGGTTCAAGCTCACCGTCCTCTACACAGCCTGGGCTACATGAGATCCTGACTCAAAAGAGAAGGCGAGGGGAAAAGGGGACAGAGGGACAGGGATGGGAAGAGCATGAGAAAAACTGAAAATAAAGGTTCTCTTTTAGTAGTCAAAAATTTGATAGAAAACTATTTGCAAGAGGCCCGGGCAGAGCTGGTGTCCATTTCTCGTTAATTTATTCAAAGCTGGAAGGTGTTTAGGAAGATCCCAGCAAACCTTCATCCTCTTGTTCTTCGGCACTGCTCTCACTGCCCACGGTCCCCTCGTCATAGGAGCTGTCTTCTTCCTCCAGGTCACTGTCCTCGTGAGAGTCGTATTCTTCGGTGCTTTCCTCGGGAGCTGCTCTCTTGACTGCTCTGCAACAGCACAGTTCGGACCTCACCATCAGGGCCGACACGTGAGCTGCTGAGCTCTCTTACATGTGCCACGGTCACAGTGACGGCAAGAGGAGAAATGCTGTCTTCCCTAGTTCTCAGAACGTGCACATACCTCTTGTGCACGCTCAAAGGAGCAGCTACTGTTGAGTTTCTACTTCCCTCTTCATCGTCATGGTTATCTTCTTCATCTTCACCATCATCATCATCTTCTACTTGCTCTTCCACCCTGCAGTTCTTCTTACCTGATTCCTTAGGCTTCTTCTTTCCACCTATGGAGGAAGAGAAAGAAAGGAATTCATTTATTATCTAAAACAAGATTATTTTAAGAGGAGTAACTAATAACTTCAGTAGCTAGTTTCTCTGGATTTTCAGGATTTCCTTTTTTTGTTTTGTTTTTTTTTTGTTTTGTTTTTGTTTGTTTGTTTTTTTCAAGGCAGGGTTTCTCTGTGTAGCCCTGGCTGTCCTGGAACTCACTCTGCAGACCAGGCTGGCCTCGAACTCAGAAATCCGCCTGCCTCTGCCTCCCAAGTGCTGGGGTATTTTTTTCTTAGTATATAGTCAGACTTCCATTTCTATCAGTTCTATATACTAGATACAATTAACCACAGACCAAAAGGGATCCATACTGATTATCTAAATTTTTTTGTCACTATTCCCTGGACAATTCAGTATGACAACTATTATGTAGCTTTGTATTATATTAGGTTTTCAAATAATCTAGTAAGGATTTAAAATGTATGGAAGCAGAAGGTGTAGTGGCTTGAATTAAAATGCTCCCCATAGGCTCATAGGGAGTGGCGGTAAGGATGTGTGGCCTTGTTAGAGTAAGTGCAGCTTTCTTGAAGTAGGTATGTCACTAGGGGGTGGGCTTTGAGGACTCAGAAGCTCAAGCTAGTTCTCTTCCTATTGCCTGTAGATCAGGATGTAGGACTCTTTAGCTCCTTCTCTAGCACTATATCTGCCTAGATGCTGCCATGCTTCCCGCCATGATAATAATGGACTAAACCTCTGAAACTGCAAGCCAGCCCCAGTTAAATGTCTTTCTTTATCAGAGTTGCCGTAGTCATGTGCCTCTTCACAGCAATGGAACCCCTAAGTAAGACAGAAGTATTACATCAGTTCTATAGGAGATACGAGCATCTGAGGGTTTGGGCATCTGAGCAGTCTATGGCTCCATTCCTTACAGACACCAAATGATGACAGCAAACAGTATCAGCAAAAACAAAACAAAACAAAACAAAACAAAACACCCAAAGCTGTTACCACCTAGAATAGATTCCTCTTTTTCTAATCCTCATCAGAAGCCTTAAGGTTAATCTGCTCCAGAATGAGAGAAACAGCAACCAAAACTCTTCAAAAAAGCCACCACTTACACAGCACAGCAAATACACTGCTCACTCTGGCCTCCATGAACTTTAGCTTTGATGTGAAATCGTCTCTGAGACTCTGGTAACTAAAGGCATTGGTTTCTCTCTCTTTTTTTCATTTAAAAAATGCATTACTTTATGCATATAAAAGTGTTCTGTTTGCATATGTATCTATGTACCATGAGCACAAAGGGCCCTCAGAAGGCAGAAGAAAGTGTCAGATCCCCTGGGATTGGAGTTACAGATGTTAGTGAGCTGCCATGTGGGTGCTGGGGATTGAACTCAGATCCCCTAGAAGAGAAAGCAGTGCTCTTAACTGATGAGCCATCCAGCCCTGCCCTCTCTTCTCAGTGGTTCATTGATATGAGGTAAGAACATAAGTGAAGGAAATGACCTAAGGCCTCCTCACTCATACCTCTCAAGTGAGTTTACACTCAAAAGAGCCCATGTTCAGCAATCAGATCACCAGGAAGTCCAATGTGAATTGATAAGTGTCCGTGAGCCCACAGAAATCTGGAGATTTTCCAGGATGCTTTGTCTTTTGGAGGGTGGGGGATGGGAGGGACTAATCTATGCTCTGGGTATCTCCAGCTCAACATTCCTACTATAGACTATGACAGTATTTAGATATACTTTTATCAAAACATAAGAACTGTTTGTTGGGCATGGTGGCACACACCTTTAATCCCATTATTCGGAAGGCAGAGGCAGGCAGATCTCTGGGAGTTTGAAGCCAGACTGGTCTACATAGCAAATTCCAGAACAGCCAGAACTATGTATAGAAACCCTGTCTCATAAAACAAAAAACAAAAATTCACAGGAGTTCTTTTTGCCCTCCCAAGCTCCTACCTAGTGCCAACACACCTTACCTGGAGCAGAAGCATGCTGGGCATCTTTGTATTTGTCCTTTGCCACAGCCCAATCCACAGCCACAGTCCGTCCTGTCAAACAGAGAGGTGGAGTCAGAGACATTCTCTTCCTTTTAACATCCCAACTTCCCGCCCATTGAAAGACAGTAACATACTGGTGGAGACAAAGAAATGCCAGTTCTGAGATTATTGGTTCTTTTGGCTGTGAGTTTAGCATTTAAGCATTGAACCATCTCTCCAGCCCAACTATTAGTTCTTAAAGATAAGAGAGGCAAGAAGATCTTGAGTTCCAGATCAGCCTGGACTATTTTGCAAGATACTGTTACAAAACAAATACAAAGCTAAAAAATGCTCCCAATAGCTCTCTTTAATTCTTAACTTCTTTTTTTTTTTTTTCTTCTTGGTTTTTTTTGAGACAGGGTTTCTCTGTGTAGCCCTGGCTGTCCTAGAACTCACTCTATAGACCAGGCTGGCCTTGAACTCAGAAATCCGCCTGCCTCTGCCTCCCAAGTGCTGGGATTAAAGGCATGTGCCACCACCGCCTGGCAATAAATCTCTTTTTAAAAAGATGAATATTTTAAAAAGACTTCAAAAAGCAAGAAGCAAAACAGACAATCTGGGACAATGGAAATCCTGCTCAAAAGTTAGGAAAGAACTAAGCTGACCCTTCCATCAGCCCAGTACCTGATACTACCAAGAGTGGATTAATAGCCCCTGGGTATTGATGAATAGTGGCCTAACCAGAAGAGAGGAATATAGGCATGTATTTATTAGCAGCTTTGTCTAAGATAGTCACTAGGAACTCCGAAAGACACACCAAATGAAGAAAAGGCTCCTGGCATGAGATCTTTCAAGGTTTAGCCTAAGATTAAATACTAAAATTTTCACCAAAAATTGTAGTGTGGGGGTGCATACTTGTAATCCCAGGACTAGAAGGCAGCAGAAAGATCAGATGTTCAAGGCCATCCTTGGCTGTTAAGGGTACTCCAGGCTACCCTGGACTACATGAGCTAGCATTTTAGCAATGAGATACTAAGCAGCAGAAACATCTTTTGAATATACCAAAAAATGTGGTTACTGTGCTAATTCACTCAAGCACCAGAAATGACAAGCTCGTGGTACGAGTGCAGAAGACTTACCTTTTATGTCTTTCATATTTGCGCCTTTGAGAGCTTTTCCTGCTTCAAGGAGGTTTTTGAACTGAATAAAAGCAAAACCACGCATCTTTCCATCTGTGAACAAATGTACAGAACAGGAAGACTGTAGAGACTCAGGCTGACAAGACAGGCCATAGCCTGCCAATCAGCCCAGAGTTCCCTCCCCTGAAGCAACAGTTAATATCGCCTGTAACTCCAGCTTCAAGAAAGCAATGAGGCAATATCAGACATACCTAATGCAATCTAAATCTGAGCGCCCTAAAAATTTCTCCAAGGGAGTAACACCAGCACCTGGGCTTCCCTACTTGTCAAGTACTATGCCAGGCAATTTGCAAATATCATATTGTCTAGGGCCACAAAAAGATAGCAAACAATTTATTCCCAGTTCAATAATATGGAAAAAGTCACATTAAACTATCTCCATCAAGCAGGGCTATGCCTTTAATCCCAGCACTCAGGTGGAGGAGAAGGTTGGATCTCTGTGAGTTTGAGGCCAGCCTGGTCTACAGAATGAGTTCCAGGACAGTCAATGATACTGTCTTGAAAACAAACAAACAAACAAACAAACACAACAACAAATAAAACCCAATTATCTTCATTAAATGGAGATTCGCAATACCTGGCTTTCTTGGGATATTCACTTCCAGAACAGTGCCATAGTGAGTAAATACTGCTTTCAAGTCATCTTCTGAACACTAAAGCCAGAAGGAAAAAAGGAAAATGAGAACTGCTAGCACAGGGGAGACATGTGAAACAGCAGTGGCTGAGTTCATTTTCTACGAGTCTGAATACTTTCATTTCTTTCTGTCAAACTTTCATGATTAGAACAGCAAATAACTGTGAACAGATTGAACAGATGGCAGCTTACTTTGTATCTAAGAAGCCAAAAAGAAAAAGGAGAAAAAGCTAGACATAGTGTTTCACACCTGTCATCTCAGCAGTCAGGAGATAGATAGGAGGACCGAGTCAAACGGCTAGCCTCAGCTAGAAAGTTTGAGATGTACATGAACTACAAGAGAGTCTGTCTCACTCAAAAGGGAAAGAGAAAGAGGCTAAACACACAGATCCTTTTCTCAGTAGTAGCTTCTTCCAAAGGGAAGCATCCGCCTTCATACTTTATGAATTTAGTAACTTCTTTATTGGGGGGAGGGGGCAACACATGCTCATGTGCCTAGAAATCAGAGGACACCCTGCAATGGTCAGTATTCTTCCACCACATGAGACCCAGGGATCAAACTCAGGTCATAAGGCTCGACAGCAAGAACCTTTACCCACTGAGCCCTTAATAAACAGGCCCATTTTTCCAATTCAGCAGGCTAAGGTTTATTTCCCAAAAGAATACTGCCCACTCTTGGTGGAGTTCTACCAAAGAGCATGTCTTGGTCCCAGCTTCCTTTAGAACACACACTTAGCTCCATCACTCACCTTAAAGCTGAGGTTCCGGATAATTAATCTGGCTTTCTTGTCTGCCACCTTGGCTTTTTTGTGCTTTGGCTCCTTCTTTGGGGACTCTGAATTTTCTAAAAAGTGAGAGACATGAGATTAAGTCTGTAACCATAGGTGAAGAAGGTACCCACACAGACAGCATCTGCCATGAGCTCAAGTGTACAACATCCAGGAACCAGATTTCACAGACGAGATAGATGCAAACAAATGACTATCAGAGCGTACCAGAGGAGTGTTGGCAACAAAAAGAAAACTGAAGAACTCAAGTTCTGGAAACTCTCTCCCAGCTCTCTCTGATCTGGAATTTTCAGTGTCTCCCTAACCCTTGCAGAATTACTAGAAACTCACCATTTTTCCTCGTTTCCTTGGACTTGTTCTTCAGTTTTTTCTTGGCAACAGTCACATTGATCTTGCAACCTTCAAAGGTAGTAATCTCCTTGAGGGCCCTCTGAACATCTTCCAGCATGGAGAAAGTCACGTAGCCAAAGCCTCGGCATGCCTTACTCCCTAGAACAAGGCACAAAGGAAGGGAACTGGAGTGAAAGGACAGAGACTCCCAAGTCAAGAGGACTGAACCAAGTGGCAAAGATTTCGCCAGCATGTGTTCTACCCGGTCACCCTGGGAGCCACCCCGAGATAATGAGTCTCCAAAGGAGAAATATGGCTGGGATCAGAAGCTCCTTCCCCACTTTAGGACTGTGAGTCTTCCTCTTGCTTCCAATTCTATGTCCTCTGTTATAGCCTTTCTTACCCCAGCCCCGATAATCTTAGGAATATGGAGCACGCATGATATACAGTAGGCCTTCACAAAAGAATTCAACATATAACAATGAAAGATCACCAGAAAGGGTAGGAAAAATACATATGGTAGATCTGGAAATCCAGATGATAACACAGTCCTCTCTTAGAGGACATGAACAATAAGGCCCTGAAAAAAGAACCTCAAAAAATAAACAAACAAACAAAGCTCTAGATATTGTTACCATTATACCATCAACACCTTGGCATTTCAGTACCAAATTAACTATTTCCAAAGAAGGTATAAATCCCTGGTCTCGTGTTAGCTTCAGAACACTCCAAGCTAGGTAAAACAAGTGTGACCATCCCTTTGTTCCAAGAAATAATTTGAGACAGAAATAGATGAATGTCAAAACAGTGTTAAGAACTAAGCTAGGGGGCTAGAAAGATGGCTCAGTGGTTAACAGTACTGACTCCTCTTCCACAGGACTGGGGTTCCATTCCCAGTATCTAAATGGTGGCCCACAACCATCTGTTAACTCCAGTCCCAGGGGACTCAGTGACCTCTTCTGCCCTCCAAGGTCAGCAGGGCACCAGAACACCAGACACACACATGGTGCACAGGCAAAACACCCATACACATAAAATTAAGAGATTAAATTTTTAAAGATGTATTTAATGTATATGAGTACACTATAGCTATCTTCAGATGGACCAGAGAAGGGCATTGAATCCCATTACAGATAGTTGTGAACCACCATGTGGTTTATGGGAATTGAACTTGGGACCTCTAGAAGACCAGTCAATGTTCTTAACTGCTGAGCCACCTCTCCAGCCCAAGAAATTAATTTTTAAAAGAGGGGGATTAATAGTAAAACTGTAATGTCTTGCGTGCGCACAGGCGCGCACGCGTGCAAACACACACACACACATACACACACACACACACACACACACACACACACACACACACACCATGGAAATGTCTGCCCATGGTCTGCAGAAGAAACAACCTTATGCTCTGGTTCCCTTTCAAATACACTTAATCTCCTTCAGAGGACATGTGACATGACACAGGACAGTCATTTTATAAACTGGTTGCATGGCTGACACGGAGCACCTGAAAACAAATGGTGACACAAATGTTAGGGAAGGTTCTGCCACTAAGGTCTTGTTCCCCAATTGGTTCTTGACTTGTCAATAAAGAAGGCAGTTGGAGGGTGGCGAGGGGATTGCTGGATGGAAGGTACAGATGGGACTTCTGGGTCCCAAGAGGAAAAGGAGATGCAGGGGCTTTTCTGTCATGCTTTGGAATGAGAAGAAAGCAGCAGTCATGATGTAAGGTCTCGGGGAAGCTAGGGCCTGCAGCCTCTGCTACGGGCAGGGGTCAAGGATGTTGGCAGGGGGTGGGGTGGGGGTGGGGGTGGGGGACAGGCTAGCTGATCCAAGCCAATACATTTAGGGCGGAGGGAGAGACAGGGATAATAAATTGATAAGGGCACACATTTCCAGGCAGGAGGTATCTGTGCCTAGAGGCAAGTTCTAGAGGTAAGGGAACAGTGTGTGTGTCTTTTATCTGTGGATTCAAGGGTCTGGGGAGTGTGTTGGTAACTCAACCCCTCCAGGAGCAAGGTGGGTGAGAAAGAGAAGCTGGGTGAGTACTGGCAGGGGAGATCCCGGAGCTAAGCAGGGAATGACAAAAAGGAGCCAGGAGGGGCCAGAGCATGGCAGCTCCTGGGCAAGGCTGAGGCGTGTTTTAAAAACTGCACACACGTACGAAGACTGGTCTCTTTTCTCTTAGATCTTCCTCTCACAAAAGCCTAGCGCTCATCTTTCAGAAAATAAGAAAAAAAAAATCAAGACCCTCCCTCTTCTCCGTAAGTACGATTAAATGTAAGCTGCTCCACTGTGAAGTTTAGTGCCCAAATAAAGGCATATACAAAAACTATGTCTCCACGGAGAACTGCCACGCGCATTCAGAATCCTCATGATCATAAGAGGTGCCATACCAATACCATTACGGAACCCCCCACCTCCCCTCCATCCCCACGTCCCCTCTACCACTAGAGTGCAGCGCTTGTTTCCAGGACACCTCACTTGCCTGGATAGGAAGCTCATAAGTTTCCTTAAAAGGGGTGTGAGAGACTGTACCGAGTCAGGCCAAGGACACCAGGTTTAACGTAAAGGAACACAAAACTTATATTCCACAGAGATGGACTTGGCACTTGACTTAAGGGTTCGGCAACTTCTCCAATTCAACATGCCAGGCTACAGGAAATGAGGGTGATCTTTGGCACCATTTGTATAGCAGTATTAATGTCCATTACAACTCCAGTGGCAATGCCTTCCTTGGCTATGGTGGTGGGCTATGGGTGAAGCAGAATCTTGAATGGACCTGAACTCTGCCTCTTGGAAACTTAGCAATAGCACCAGGAAAAAGGACATTAATGTTTCCTTCTTGTTGTTGTTTTTTTTTTTTGAGACAGCATCTTATATAACCCAAGTTGGCCTCAACTTCCTGATCCCCCTGCCTCTACCTACCAAGTGCTGGGATTACAGTTAGATACCACCACTCCTGGAACAACATTAATGTTGTAACATTTACTTATGTGTGTGCAAACGTATGGGAACAACCTGGTAGGAGTTGATTTTATTTCTGTCCATCAGGTAGGGTGGCTCCTGGGATCTCTTTTCTCCCTGTTCTCATGAGAACTGGGCATATCCTATTCTTCTGTCAAATCTTTCTCTGATTCGTCATTTTATCTGCCTCTCAATTAGACATTACTTTCAAACATGGGTGCTTCCTTCTACACACTAACTTTACCATTACTGTTTGGGATTAAAGGTGTGTGCTTGAGCTGAGCCACACAAATAGAAATAGGATTTTCTAGTAAACAACACAATCTGGAAATTCCCGGTGGACTCTAATACCTTGCCACACCTTCACTCACTTCCTCATCACCCTGTCCACCATGGTCTCTCCTCATACAAGGATATACCTGTGTTCATATCCTCAAGGTTGCTGCTTCTTGAATTCAGACTGTTTTATCTCCTAGTTCTTCATTCACTCTCCTCAAACAGGTCTTCCCTGGCCACCCTATCTACACACACACACACACACTCCCCCTTTTGACTTTTATCTTTAGCATAGATCTATCACCATTATCAATATATAGTTTGGTTATTTATTCGCTGTCTTTCAAACCTTAAGTATGTGAGAACAGAATCTCTGAGTCAGTGATTTAGTGTCACACATTTGTTGTATCTCAAGGACAGCCAGCAATGTCCTGAAACATACTTGGCATCCAAGAAGAATTTGTCACATAGATCGACGCACGGCATGTGCTGTTGTCCTAATCAAATTGAGTCCTCTCACTTCCTATACCAGCTTCAAACCATTAAATGTCTTTAAAGTTTATATTCCTTTATTTTAAAAACGGGATTAAGTCTCTTTATCCTATAAGATTGTTGAGAACATGAAATAAGTTAACCTATGTCAAACTAAACACCCTTCCCGCCTAGCAATCATCGGACTCTGAACAAGCCATACTGGTGCTTTATTAAATGTTACTTTGGGTTGTTCGTTTGAGACAGGGTCTCGATATGTAATCCAAGCTGTCCTGAACTTGCTATTACATAAACCAGGCTGTCCTCGAATTCCCAGCAATCCTCCTATTCCCAAATGCTGGGATTACTTTACAGCCATTACGCCAGGCTTAGGTTTGCGTTTGAACTTCTGAACACGCGTAATAAAGGGGAAAACGCAACAGAAACGTTAAGTGAGTGTTTTGCCTTTCATAAATCAATCTTATTGGCCAATCTACAGCTGAATCAGTTGAGAAAAGAATCTTAGTTCCCGGACCCATACTTTTGGAGAGAGCAAAGAACAAGCTGGGATGGCTCACGTCATTAATCAGAGGATTCTGGAGGCAGAAGCATAAGGGCTACCGGTAGCGAATTCGAGGCCAGTTTGGGTTAGAGTGAGAGCCTTGTCTCAAAACAAACAAACAAACAAACAAACAAACATCGTAAATATAAAGCTCCCTGAAATTCGACCTGTTTCAGCTCCCAGGAGCATACGCCCTCTCCACCACCCTACTCCTTACCTTTCTCTGTCACCACGAAGCACTGCTTCACCGGACCCACCTGACTGAACAGCTCTTCCAGCTGATCGCTGCGAGCCGAGGGCGGGAGACGGCCCACGAATAAAGTCAGACCCGCCATGAGACCGAGAAACAAGCGTGTGAGGCCACAAGTGACCCACACAGGCGCGAGCGAGTCCTGGGATGAGCTTTGGCAGGAAGCCGGCACCAAGTTGCGGGGAAATTCAGGAAGTACTCGTTGCTCAAAAGAGTCCGGGAGGAAACGCAGACTGGAAGGAATAGTTCCGGAGAGAAAAGGGAAAATGACGTCCTGGGGGCGGAGCTTCTTGAGAGACGGTCTATGTGCAGTCCCAGCACCGCCCCCGCCACTGGGGGAAACTTGACATCAACAGTTTAACCTCTTTTAAAATCTTTCATTTAGGAGCTCGACCCCAAATTCACCAAAGCAGGCAGAAGTCATTTTCCCCCTAAGCCTGCCCTCATCTGACATAGAGTGGGTGTTCAATAAGTTTTTTTCTGAGGAGTTGCTACAGATCACGCGGGGGGAGGGGGGGAACCCACACATCCAAAACGTCATAGACACAAGCATGTAACATACATAATTTGAACAATTCACATGTCCTCAGAAAACATGAGACAAAATGTCACCTGGCCTCAGAGACAAATTGTATCTACCAAAATACCCATAGAACAAATACTACGTATGAAATCATATTTTCAATTCTTGTTTATTGAGCTCCTACTTGTATATTAGGGTAAGATCCGTTCCCGAAAAAAAAGACAGGGTCCCTACCTTCATGTAAAGTAGAGTCTGGAGTGAGAGACAGACGTTTATTTTTAAAATCTTACAAAATCTCTGCAAGATCACATCAGAGTACACCCAAGCCAAACCTAACACCCAGCTATATGCAGACCTAGAATGCATGCTGCCTAGAGACAGAAGATCTTCCTTCATGTCTATTTATCAGATAGACTCGAGGCTACCCACAGTGTTCGACATTCAGTGGGCTCATTGTATGTTTTACGTGGAAAATTGCTGTGCTTGCAGAATGTCTAGCTGCAAAAAGTACTCCAGGCACTTTTGAAGTCTTTACTTTTTAAATTACAACCGCTTGGTAGGTAGAAAACACTACAAAGAGTGAAAGGTAAAATTCCCAAGAGCCATCCATGTTCAGTATAATGGATGTATAAATGGATGGGTGGGTGGGTGGGTGACTTGTTAGCAGTAACGATGGAGGTGCGTTAAGCATGAAATTTATGAAGTCCTAGTAGGCTTCAAATAATATGTGTCTTTGGAAAAAGAGCCCATACCACAGTTACATTTTAAATAGACAAAACAGAAAAAAGGGCACTGAAATACCAAATAGATTGCCAAGGCTACCACAGAGTCAATCCTGTCTTACATAAAAAAGTAAAATGGGCAAAAGAAGTAGAATCTTTTAAACAAAATTGGCTTGGAATTCCACATCCTCTTCCTTAAGAATCAGATTCTATCCTCAAATACTTGTATTTGGGGACCTAGTCATAGCTGCGGTAGATAAAGGGGAAAGAATTTAATATCCATTTGTAATCCCCCTCAAAAACATTCTAAATACCCTAAGTCCAATTTTTCCTTAAAGGACAAAGACTAAACTGTTTCCCTACATCCATCAGGGGGCAGCAAATACCCACAGTCAGGGTTCTGTGTCCCTCAGAATACACAGTAAAACCAAGCCTTTTATTCAGATGTGGATCCCCCATCTGTCTCCTGCCTCATCCCCTTCTATCCATGCATATCAGGAAGGGCATATGGTTCTTCAGCCAAGAATATTTGCTCATCCATATACTCAGGACTCATGCAGTGTTCTTTATTAAATAGCAGGAGTCATGGAACCCTGCAAGGTGGCTTCCAAGGGAAATAAGCTGCAGACCTATCCCTCATCCATCACTGTGCTGAAGCCTGGAAAGGAAGGAAGAGAAGCCTGGGATGTTCTTAACAGGCTTTCTCTGGCTCTACTCCTCACTCTCCCCATAAACTCAGCCTTCTATAAAATTAGATATTTCTTTCCCCCTCACTTCTCACAACTGTAATAATTGCTTGTACTATAATGACTCTTCTATTAGTGCTTGCCTTTCCTCTGCAGGTCCCCAAACTGTCATATACTCATGGTCTGTTTCCTTCTCTGACTTCTTTTTTTTAAGATTTATTTCTTTTTATATATGTGAGTACACTGTAGCTGTCTTCAGACACACCAGAAGAGGGCATCAGATCTCATTTCAGATGGTTGTGAGCCACCATGTGATTGCTGGGAATTGAACTCATGACCTCTGGAAGATCAGACTGTGCTCTTAACCATTGAGCCATCTCTCCAGCCCCCTTCTCTGCCTTTTTGTTCTCATCACCTGATATATTTTGAGCATTCAACAAATATTTTTAAAAGAGCAGATGAGTTCATGAATGAATGAATGAATGAATGAATGAATATTTCTCTCTCAGTCCCTCCCTGTACCGATATTGAAACTGTAGGATGTATGCATTAGGATCTAACTCTACTCCTTCTGAGAAGCCTGCTTTCGGTAAGAGATAAGGCTCAAGACGTGTAGCTAACTGAAGTCTTGGCTTCTTTGTGTGCGAAAGAGCTAGGGATTTTTTGAAGATTTATTTTCATTTTTATTTGTAGGGGTTTGTGTGCATGAGAGAAGTGTCCATGAAAGACAAAAGAGATCATCAGATGACCTTGATCTAAAGTTAATGGTGATCATGAGCAGCCCACTGTGGGTGCCGGAAACTCAGGTTCTCTGAAATTAAAAAAAAAAAAAAAAGTTTTTAACTGCTGAAACATCTCTCTAGCCCTGGAAGTAATTCTTATGAAGGAAAATCAACAAAGTGTCAGATCTGGTGAGTACTGAGAAATGTTCCTTTGGCTTCCTTTCTCATCAGCTGCATTCAGAGCTTTCAGACAGGAAAACAAATGTCTGTGAGAGATGAACAGACAGACTGAATGGGGACGCTCCAGATTTGGACTGCTGTGCTCAGGGGAGAGGAGTACATGAAGCCAATCGGATTCAGTGAGGAGAATGCGCAAGACGGAGCAGCTGGAGAGGATGAGCATGGGAAAGGGGTGACAGAGGAGCTGGAGAGGATGAGCATGGGAAGGGTGACAGAGGAGCTGGAGAGGATGAGCATGGAAAGGGTGACAGAGGAGCTGGAGAGGATGAGCATGGGAAGGGGTGACAGAGGAGCTGGAGAGGATGAGCATGGGAAGGGTGGCAGAGGAGCTGGAGAGGATGAGCATGGGAAGGGGTGACAGAGGAGCTGGAGAGGATGAGCATGGGAAGGGGTGACAGAGGAGCTGG